TCCCTACTATGACCATCTAAGCTGCTACAAAACCAGAACTGTTTAATAAATCAAGTTTTTTCTTACCTGAACAGCACTATTAAGAAAGCAGCTGTTTTGTCCCGGTTCATTTAATAAGCCTTTTGTAGGGGCCAGGGATAGTATACTTCCAGGCTGATAAACTTTTCCAAGGTTGCCCCCAGGTTTTCTTAAGAATTTCACCCATGCCATTATTTTTTAGACTTTATAATTGCAATATTTACGCTTAAATATTTAAGGATATGATGGGTGCAAGGCAAAGAAGTCGGTCTTAAGAGAACTGCTCTGAAGTCATGGCATTCCATTCAACTCTGTGCAAGAGTAACCCTTCATGGGTTTAAGTCCATTTTCCATGAGCAGCTGTCAGCCATCTATCAGGATCAGTCTCTCAGTCAAAATACAGCTATACAAAGTTTTTAAGTCTCAGACTTTAAAAAAAAAAAAGTGTCCAGTTAAGGTTAAAACATGTTAAAAGTTACTAGAATAAAAGTTCTTATTAAGCAAGTTGCACAGTAACTGACTTCTCCTTCCAGGGATATCAATAAAGTACTACTATAAATCATTAGTTGTATTATATCACAAGTTTATATATATCACGAAAATGGAAAGTCCTTGACAGGTGTTATACTCCTGTTATATCATTTCGTTCCATCTTCTTTTTATTTTTAACTGTGACTCATGACGTATATTCCAGTTTAGAAGACTCCATGCTTATTTAATTCTCTTTCCAGTGAATCTGAAATAAGAAAAAACCAGAAAATATAAAAATAGAATTTTCCAAAATGTTAAAGACCTTCTAAATTAGAAAAGAGACCCTGTCCAAAACAACCTCTTAATCTAAAGGCAGATGCAATAACCAGGGAAGAGGAGGAGAAACAATTGCCATCTAGAAGTTGTTTTTAAGGCAGAAAGATTAAATTATCTGTCATAATCAATTATATTCTAATTTATTATACACCTCTAAAGACCACGATAGAATTACTGTAAAGGTTCTGCTAACAATATGCAACAGCTTATAAAAAGACCATATAACACATGAGTTATTCTAACTTTGACTCTCCAAGTCTAATAAAAAGATTACCATGAAATAGATATTTGTATTCAACACTTGAAAGCCTAAGATTTCAATGTCCTAGCAAATCACATGAACTGACACATATTTCTATGTCTTAAGGTTACTAAGATGTTATAGACGGATTCTCAGCTAGTACTCAGCTTTCAAAATTTTGTACTACCTAGCAAACACTACATAAATACGTCATTAACCTAGTTGCATTCTTAAAGCATCCAGAAAAACAGCTAATAGCAGAGCAAGAACATTCTGGTAGCTGCCCCAATAACTCATTCCAAGATTTTCCAATTCCAACAATAAGAGTTGTTTCTCTCATTGTTGAAGGTACATATTTAAGGTTAAACGACTCATCGTCCAGAACATCACCACAGGCACAGGTAAAGCCCATGCAGTGATCACCTCACAACAATGGATTATTCAAGCAGTTTGGCATTACTACATCATCCACATAAACACTTGAAGTAACGGCACAGAACAGAACAAACTTAAATAAACCAAAGCGACTAAGGCTGCATATTGGGGGGGAAGGGGAGAAGTGAAATTTGGGCTTCACATTACAACCAAGATACCTTAGCTTTTACAAGCACATGAGATACTAAAGACATATCAGTATACTTCAAAACTTGCAGCCTTCTCACTACAATTTTTTCCACTGTGCAAGCCTTTCAAGATTGGTGAGCAGCATTAAAAAACAATAATAAATTTTGTAGCTGGAATGCTGTATAAATTGGAAGATAATACTCCCCAGCTCAGAACAATCAACACCACATTCGTGTCAAACAGTTCTACAGCTCTCAAATATTATACAGCTGGGAACCACAGAAACAAATCATGTGACTTTCAAAAATACCTGCAGGAAGTCTTGCACCCCTAAAACCATTCCCCTTTATTTAAAAGAAACATTGGTACTTGCTTGTATTATCAAAAAAATCAGTAACTGGAACCTAACCAAAAGTCCCTTTTGTCCCATGCATAATCAGATGTTTTTTGTTTGTTTACTGATGTTACTGTATCTCACCCGTAAGTAATTTGATTTAATAATACTGGAAATAGTGCGATTTGTGACAGCACTGAGCAAGGAGTCCGAAATCTGGAAACTGACCTTGACAGAATATCATTTGATAATTTTGTTTTCTTTATGTTCACTTCACTAAGCATTTAGCTGTTGGGCTGTGTTTCAGAAAAGTTGCCATGATTCGCTGCAAGAATTTAATAAAAAATGGTCCTGGATTAGCTTTATGTTACTGTCACATTACATTAAGATGCTTGCTGTTTAATTTCACATCCACAAAGTTATGACTACAAACAATTTCAACTATCACATCAGGTAAGTGCACACAATCTTATTCTAATAAATTGCAGAATACATTCATTGTGCTGTTTTAATATGTGGGCCAGATATTCATTTTCCAAAGCACTGTGATATTATATTCATATGGCCTCTATTAACTACCCACAACATTAGTACACCTTTTCCTGAAAATTTAAATACAACACTAGAAAGATCAGAAACGACTACTTAAAAATTATTTTCATGCAACCTTCTCAAATTACTCTTTCTATAAATGCACTCTTTAAACTGCATATGTTGAACTAAACATACCCCCCGCAGCACTTCAAACGTGTCAAATATTTAAGAATAAACAAGAAGGGTGTATCAGAAAGGTATTCCATTTAAAAGATCTCTCTGTACGTCTACTGCTTAACTAGAACTTTGCACCAAATGGGCACTCTAGTCCTTTTGTTTTATTTACTACTCTTTCTCCCCCAAAACGGTCACAATCATCCCAGGGAACAGACAGTAGGTGTGAAATAATACTATCTTGACACACAGTTCTCTGGGCAACGTGACTAGTAAGTCCTAGCCTGGAGTAGGAAGTTCCACTACCCTTTCTTTCTCCACTAATACCCTGTATCAAATAAGACAGCGCATAGCTGCTTATCTACTAGTAAGAGGGGCACTGTAGATGAGCCTTCCAACGGTGCCATAAACAATGGGATTAACTTCTGTCATCCATATCTCATCAGAGCCTCTCCCTAGGGAGAGAAAGTTTATAGTGGCATCTTGGTCTGAAATTTACATTGTACAAATATCTCAAAGTTTGGTTTTGTTAAAAGAAAAAAAAAAAAAAACAGTAGAAGAAAAAAGCCAAGATCAAAGAAAGCTATTGTGAAAGACGCTGGCAAGGATGTATGCTCTTTAGTCACAGCAAATTTTTCTGGATTTGGACCATTCCCCAAGAGTATTATTCCTCTGCTGACAAGCCTAACCTCATTGTAGATTGTTCCATAAACCAGAGAAGTGATGCTTCTGATCAACCTTGGTTCCTTCTACCTCCCATAACGTTTGGTTAAGCTTTTAGATGACTGGGACTCAGACCACTGACTCCCTTACCCTAAAGTCAATACTCTATAGGACTATAATTAGGAACTGAAAACTGTTCCTACATGTTTGTGGTAAGCCAGTGTTGCTAAGAGCACTGTAGCATTTATTAGCCACTGGGGTTTACCAGTCCTTTTAAATTCTTGGCTTGACAAAGGTGCGGGTGACTGAGGAAAGATCGTAAGTCATTGAACCATACAGAGTCTTCAATAGGTGCAACCTTTCAGCAAAACAGTTATTTCACAAAGTGTTATTGACATGCTACGTAAGATTTTTAGCAGCTGAGAGTTAAAGAAATATTCTTGCGCTTCAGACTAAAGGATCAATTTTGGATTACTGTTCTCAACCAAAGACACTAAACAAGGGCTACGAACTCTCAAACCAACATCTATTTATCAGCTTAAGTTCTTCTACCTTGCCTAATTTCAGTCACTGTTCTTCAGTCATCAATGATCTTATCAAGCACCTGGCTACCCTTAGTTGCACAGCCTTACAGGACAAAATATATCCGTGTCACAAATTGCTGGCACTTGCCATTATAGCCTCCAGAACAACAAACACATTAATCAGCAAAAATGCATGTTACCTGTTTTGTTGGTACATCCTAGCATGTAAGTAACTGCAGCTGGCACAGTCTTTTCAATGTAAGAAGTAATATCACTAAATTAGCTTAGAAATCAGTACAGTTACTACTTAACCTAAACAAATCACTTTCTACAAGCACATTTGGTTTAGGAATCTTTGATATTCATTTAGATAAAACTGATGAGATAAACAGTTGGCTCTGTGAATACTGGAACTATCAATGCCTGGCTCCTGATAGCTTTATGCCTCACAGCTGAGTTCTCGCACAGTTTTCCCCCTAGTTGGGGCATACGCCAACTCTGCTCCTTACATCTTCTTACAAGTTCTCTCTCTTCCAGCCAGCAGCCCGTTTTCATGCACTTTGTAAGTACATAATCATCTTTAAGACTTCTATCCCTTCTGTCAAATTGGGTGGAAACCTGCCAATGGGTTCAAAAGTTGTTGACTCTGTGTGTCTCTGAAATTTGGCTGAAGAATTGTTATTTACATTTTCTCAACTTCATTTTGCAACTACTCTCAGTGTGTTGCATAAATGACTAATGGCAAACCTTTCTCATGCCCAATGCTAAGGTTACTTTTAAGCCACACAGCTTTTTGCTTCTACTGGCAATTCACACCTCTGAGCTGAGCCTGGCAACCCACCCAATGGTCTGACAACTCTGGTAAATCAATTTATAAACGGATATATATTATAACTTAGGAATTTAGATACAAGACAACAAAAATTTGGAAGGAAGAGTGATTAAATGTATTGCAAGGGAATAAACATGATGGGAAACCAATAGAGTTTTCTGCAGTGATCCAGCATTATTAGGGCTGTGGTTACTTTCTCCTCTTCAACAGAATGAAATCCATCAAAAATTCAAAAACTTGCAACTGTGAGAATTTGAGTGTTTTCCACAGCTCAAAAGCTTGTCATTTGAAATTGCCAATTTTCATCAACAAAACAAAAATCTGATTTGTTTTGTGACAATACTGGAGGTTGCAATGATTTTTCCCCACATTTGAAGAAAACCCCTCCAAAACAGTGAAGTTGCTTTAAAAAATGTAGAAAAAGACTGAAATTCAAAATGAATAAACTCTTATATCCACCTCAGTGGGGCTGATTCATAATTTTTTTGGTCCCTGCACAAAACCCCTTCCACCTTTACC